GTACTAATCCTTAGTCACAAAAGGGGCAGAAAGGCTTAAACCTGTCATTAACCGTGGTCTGTCCTTTGTTAGTTCCACTAGGCTTATGCTCTACCGTGACCTGGTGCACACCAGAGAAAGAGGGTGCTGCTGGGCCTTCTCTCTGCGCTGCACAACCAGTTGTTGTGGTTGACCATTATGCAGTTGCAAGGCTTGCATAGCCCAGTGTTAAGGACACCAACTGTATGTTAACTACCACTGCCTCTCCCCCAGTGGATCTATACAGGCATGTCGAGAGACTGGCAGATGGACTCTCTTCCCTACAGAAATGAGCGCCTTGTGACCCGCTCTAAACAAGACCATATGGCAGTGGACATTCTTGAGGCTAAGACTGTTCATGTGCCAGTGGGTGGTGTGGAGCGTTATGCCACCCCACTGCTGAGAAAAGGGGGGGTGGCCCTTACCTTCAGGTCCCCCCTGAGGCTCTGATGCTGCTGCTGAGCAGTACAGAGCGCCGCCTGGCTAAGGTCTCCACAGACAACACAGCAGTGGAGAGGGGATTGGGAATAAATAATAAATAAATAAATAATATGCCATTTAGCAGACGCTTTTATCCAAAGCGACTTACAGTCATGCGTGCATAAATTTTTGTGTATGGGTGGTCCCGGGGATCGAACCCACTACCTTGGTGTTACAAGCGCCGTGCTCTACCAGCTGAGCACAGTGGGCACAGTCTCTATAGCAGGCAGCTCCTGATGACCAGCGGGGGCTGAGAACATGACGTGTCCCTGCCCGGTCTCAGTAGCAGCCGTGAGAGAAGAGGCAGCTTCCTGCTGCTGAACTCCATAAGACCGTCCCATATCCTCCACTGCAACCTGTCGGAGAGGGCTCACCTGATTGGAGGAAACCCGGAATCTGGTCTGTTGCAATAGGAAAATCAGACCCTCTGTACTCGATATTGGCAAAACGTGCTTCCTGTACTCCATACAACATAGTCAGCGATGTCCACGGCGCTGCAACTCCCTGGCACTCTAACGTAGGAGTAAAATACACCCGCTGGGTTGTTGGGGATGCAGCCCCACCTGGTGCCGAATAGTATTCCACAGGTGGAGGTGACACCGCGGAAGCCCCTACATGTCCCGGGGTGTAGGTATAATCTAAATGTGATGGCGCTGAGGCTCAGGGGGCATCACTGACTGGGGGGAAACTGGTAACATAGTCCCTCAGGTACTCTAGGCCTCCTGCTCCGGACCACACATGGGCTGGATTGCAGGTCCTCTGCAGAACCGCTTGAGGTTGCCATATTATGTCATTATCAGTAAGCCACAAATCCGGTGAGCGCAAGGACCACTTTGTGAGGTAGAACCTCCAGAATAAGCGTGGCCTGTGGCTTCACTGACACCTATCTCCTATTAGAGAGACGAGGCAACCTCCAGAGTATTCCAAACAGATTACTTTATTGACCTATTACAGATGGGAATTACATTTACATCATTTAGCAGACGCTCTTATCCAGAGCGACTTACAAATTGGAATAAGTCTAAAACAGAATAGAAACATGGAATGAAGGTATGATAAATACAATAATTACAATATACACTACCAGTCAAAAATTTGGACAGCAACTCATTCAAGGGTTTTTCTTTATAATTTTTTTTTTTACATTGTAGAATAATAGTGAAGACATCAAAACTATGAAATAACATATGGAATCATGTATTAACCAAAAAAAGTGTTAAACACATCAAAATATATTTTATATTTGAAATTCTTCAAATAGCCACCCTTTGCCTTGATGACAGCTTTGCACACTCTTGGCATTCTCTCAACCAGCTTCATGTGGTAGTCACCTGGAATGCATTTCAATTAAGTGTGGTGTGCCTTGTTAAATGTTAATTTGTACAGCTCAAATAAGCAAAGAGAAATGACAGTCCATCATTACTTTAAGACATGAAGGTCTGTCAATACTGAAAATTAAGAACTTTGAAAGTTTTCTTCAAGTGCAGTCGCAAAAACCATCAAGCGCTATGATGAAACTGTCTCTCATGAGGACCGCCACAGGAATGGAAGACCCAGAGTTAACTCTGCTGCAGAGGATAAGTTCATTAGAGTTAATTGCAGCCCAAATAAATGCTTCACAGAGTTGAAGTAACAGACACATCTCAACATCAACTGTTCAGAGGGGACTGTGTGAATCAGGCCTTCATGGTCGAATTGCTGCAAAGAAACCACTACTAAAGGACACCAATAAGAAGAAGAGACCTGCTTGGTTCAAGAAACATGAGCAATGGACATTGGACCGGTAGAAATGTGTCCTTTGGTCTGGAGTCCAAATTGAAGATATTTGGTTCAAACCGCCGTGTCTTTGTGAGACGCAGTGTGGGTGAACAGATGATCTCCACGTGTGGTTCCCACAGTGAAGCATGGAGGAGGAGGAGGTGTGGGTTGCTTTGCTGTTGATAGTGTCTGTGATTTATTTAGAATTCAAGGCACACTTAACCTGCATGGCTACCACAGCATTCTGCAGCGATACGCCATCCCATCTGGTTTGCGCTTAGTGGGACTATAATTTGTTTTTCAACAGAAAAACGACCCAAAACAGTGATAGAGAGCTGCATCAGATGACCTGGTCTCCGCAATAACCCGACCTCAACCCAATTGAGATGGTTTGGGATGAGTCGGACCGCAGAGTGAAGGAAAAGCAGCCAACAAGTGCTCAGCATATGTGGGAACTCCTTCAAGACTGTTGGAAAAGCATTCCTCATGAAGCTGGTTGAGAGAATGCCTTGATGACGGCTTTGCACACTCTTGGCAAAGGGTGGCTATTTGAAGAATCTCAAATATATAATATATTTTGATTTTTTTAACACTTTTTTGGTTACTACATGATTCCATATGTGTTATTTCATAGTTTTGATGTCTTCACTATTATTCTACAATATAGTAAAAAATAAGAAAAACCCTTGAATGAGTAGGTGTGTCCAAACTTTTGACTGGTAGTGTATAGGCTATACAGTACCAGTCAAAAGTTTGGACACCCCTAGTAATTCAAGGGTAACTATGTATACTGAACAAAAATATAAACGCAAGATGTAAAGTGTTGATCCCATGTTTCATGAGCTGAAATAAAAGATCCCAGAAATGTTCCATAAACACAAAAAGCTCATTTTGTCCACAAATGTGTTTACATCCCTGTTAGTGAGCATTTCTCCTTTGCTAAGATAATCCATCCACCTGATTTAAACAGCATGATTATTACACAGTTGCACCTTGTGCTGGGGGCAATAAAAGGCCACGCTAAAATGTAAAGTTGTCACACAACACAATGCCACAGATTTCTCAAGTTTTGAGGGAGCATGCATTTGGCATGCTGACTGCAGGAAGATCCTGAGGCCCATTGTTGTGCCATTCATCCTCCGCCATCACCTCATGTTTCAGCATGATAAAGCACCGACCCATGTTGCAAGGTTCTGTACACAATTCATGGAAACTGAAAATGTCCCAGTTCTTCCATGGCCTGCATACTCACCAGACATGTCACCCATTGAGCATGTTTGGGATGCTTTGGATCGACGTGTACGACAGCGTGTTCCAGTTCCCACCAATAGTCTCCCGAGTGGCGCAGTGGTCTACGGCACTGCATCGCAGTGCTAGCTGTGCCACTAGAGATCCTGGTTCGAATCCAGGCTCTGTCGTAGCCGGCCGTGACCGGGAGACCCATGGGGCGGCGCACAATTGGCCCAGCTTCGTCCAGGGTAGGGGAGGGAATGGCCGGCAGGGATGTTGGTAGAGCATGGTGTTTGCAACGCCAGGGTTGTGGGTTCGATTCCCGCGGGGGGCCAGTATGAAAAATAAATACAAATATGTATGTACTCACCAACTGTAAGTCGCTCTGGATAAGAGCGTCTGCTAAATGACTAAAAATGTAAATGTAAATGTAATATCCAGCAACTTCACAAAGCCATTAAAGAGTGGGACAACATTCCACAGGCCACAATCAACAGCCTGATCAACTCTATGCGAAGGAGATGTCGCACTGCATGAGGCAAATGGTGGTCACACCAGATACTGACTGGTTTTCTGATCCACGCCCCTACCATTAAAAAAAAAAAGTATCTGTGACCAACAGATTCATATCTGTATTCCCAGTCATGTGCAATCCATAGATTAGGGCCTAATTAATTTATTTCAATCGACTTTTCCTTATATGAACTGTAACTCAGTAAAATCTTAGAAATTGTTGCATGTTGCTTTCATATTTTTGTTCAGTGTAGTTGGTGGTACACTTTGATGGACGTCATATCAATTTAACGCCGTCCGTAGACATACTATGGACAGGAGTTAAAAAATGTGGCAAGAGGAGCCCTGCTCTCTGTCCTCCTGTCGTGGGTTTTTTACCCCAGCTCAAACCTCCTCTGTTGGGGGAGATTCCTTTATCCCTGGAGCTGTGGAGCAAGACTGGCTAGGGTCACTGCGACAGCCTAAAACAGACTGACTGCAGGAGGGGACAGATTTCAACATTAAAATGAGAAAGATAGAGATTGGGGGGGGAGGTCAGGGAGTGATGGATGGATCCTTTAACTATTCTGAAGAAGAGAGTGGGAGAACAGACAGTAGGTTAGGCAGGGTTTGATGTTGTCAGTAAAGGGATGGTTTAAAACCAAGGATGTGGACCCAGGAGTCAGTCAGGTTTGTCTGGTTAGGGGTGTGTCTCTCTAAGCCACAATGACACATAGATTACTCTGTTATGAACTGAGTCCAATAATAATACATTAATTATTCATGCTCCTGTCTATCATGTGCCTGCCTGGCGGGTCTGGGGCATCTAGTCTCCTGCTGTTCCTGTCTATATGTCTGTCTACATTTTCGTATTGATATCAAACTGTTTTTCATCTCTAATGTCCTCTCTCTGTCCTCCCCTACTCTCTCTACAGGGTGGTTGCTGATACATTAGGGACCAGGACTAGCTGCAGGTCTGGTGGTGAGACAGCGATCCATACCTCCTGCCCCGCTAAATAGTGTGTGTGAGGGGGGAGGCGACTGGAGGGGGAGGCAGGTGCCATGCTCCAGGGGTGAGGCGGGGGAGAGGGGGACACACACAGGGCTCAGTGGTGGTGGGTGAGGTTGCCGAGGAGATGAAGTTGAAACAGCGCGTGGTGTTGCTGGTTGCCGTGCTACTCCTGTTAGGGCTGGCCAAACTCTTTCTGCTGGATGGAGGAGAGGGGTCCGCAGCCAGTCGACGAGACCTCAGAGCCTTCCGCAAGGTACGGCTGTCTTTGTGTGTGTCAATGTTTATATCTGTGTGTGTACTGTACGTGTGTGTGTACTTGTGTCATTGTGGCTTAGAGAGACACACCCCTAACCAGACAAACCTGACTGACTCCTGGGTCCACATCCTTGGTTTTAAACCATCCCTTTACTGACAACATCAAACCCTGCCTAACCTACTGTCTGTTCTCCCACTCTCTTCTTCAGAATAGTTAAAGGATCCATCCATCACTCCCTGACCTCCCCCCCCAATCTCTATCTTTCTCATTTTAATGTTGAAATCTGTCCCCTCCTGCAGTCAGTCTGTTTTAGGCACTAGTGTGCTGTATTAATGTTGATGTCTGTGTGTTACCAGATGGAGGCAGACCTATCTCTCTCACGTGGTGCCCGGCTAACACAGACCCTCCAGTCTCCGTGGGAGGTGGCAAGCCAGTGGGTGGGCCCCAGGGAGGTGTACCCTGAGGAGACCCCTGAGCTGGCAGCCGTCCTCTCCGCGTTGGGCACTGCCCGAGTGGAACGGGCAGATGTGGGCTACAAGGGCACCCAGCTCAAGGCTCTACTAGTACTGGACGGGGGGCAGAAGGTTGTCTTCAAACCCAAGAGGTGAGAGAGGTAGAACACATACATACACTGTCCTCTGGTTCTCTGCTGCTGAGCTGTACTCGTGAAACGTGTGTCCTTGTTTTACTCCAAGTCTGCATCTATCTGTGTGTTCATGTTGTCTGGTTTTGTTGGGTCAGATTAGGCACAGTTTACTCTGTGGCTTACGTAAGAGGATAACTCTTTCAATCACTCCCTCCCTCTCCATCTCTCTCTCTCTCTCTCTCTCTCTCTCTCTCTCGCCCTCTCTCTTTCCAGGTATAGTAGAGACTATGTGGTAGAAGGAGAGCCGTATGCTGGTTATGACAGACACAACGCAGAGGTGGCAGCTTTTCACCTGGACAGGTACACACACACACACGTATCGGCCTAATGCATTAAAATATATACATTTTAGATTTGGGATTGGCCATCTGGATACTGGTGTTGCTAGTGGTATGTGACTGTCTGTCCTGTGTATCTATCTGCTGTAGGATCCTGGGTTTCAGGAGAGCACCCCTAGTGGTCGGGAGGTTTGTCAACCTGAGGACTGAGATCAAACCTGTCGCTACGGACCAGCTACTCAGTACCTTTCTAATGCAGGGTGAGACACACACACACACACACACACACACTAGAGGGCTCTTTTCAGTCCCACCCATAATGTTTTCTTATAGACGTACCACTCCATATAAAGTTGATAAGATAATGTTGCGTGTCTGTGTTCAAGCTGCAGTGGGCTGGATCTCTCTCTAAATGGAAATGGTTAACCTTGTTCTCTTCCTTTCTTTGTCTCTCGCCCTTCCTCTCTCTCCAGGTAATAATAGTTGTTTCTATGGGAAGTGTTACTACTGTAGAGAGAGTGAACCGGCATGTGCTGAGGGAGAGATGATGGAGGGATCGGTAACTCTCTGGCTGCCAGACGTCTGGCCTCTCCAGAAACACAGACACCCCTGGGGACGCACCTACAGGGAGGGCAAACTGGCCAGGTAGGGGTGTGTGTGTGTGCTTATATGTTAAAGTCCTACTCCAGTCTCCTTTTCACCTCATTTAATACCCGGTTTACTTAACAAAAAATCTCAATAGGTGGTCCAGGTATCCTCATGACATGGCACAAGTGTGTGTGGGGGGGGGGGGTTCCTCTTTTTGTTCTCTGTTGCTCCTCTATTGTTCCTCAAGCAGGGGGGTAGGTCAATGACATCATATCAGACCATCAGACCAACTCCTTGAATGCCCTATTCCTTGAAGTTTTGCTCAGAACATATTTTTTTACCTTAAAAGAGAAGTTATGTTTTTTACAACTACTGTAAATCTCAATTCTTTATGTAGATCCCATGTTATAGAAGGGTCCAGACACCTTTTTTGTGATTTCAGTTGTTTTTGAGAAACTCACCCCAAACAGAAAATGACTTCCTCATCGTCGTTGTGTAGTATGGGGGTCCTGAAAAAAAACAAATAAAGGGAATATAACGTTGCGGATAAAGTTCGGAATGACACAATTTCATGTGTACAACATCTAAAGACCTGCATCACTATACTGAGATTTGGTGTTTTTGGAGCCTTAATTCATGTTTTTTCAGGCCCCCCATACTACACAACGACGATGAGGAAGTCATTTTCTGTTTGGGGTGAGTTTCTCAAAAACAACTGAAATCACAAAAAAAGGTGTCTGGACCCTTCTATAACAAGCAATTTACATCCAAAATAGAGATTTGGTTGTAAAAAATAACTTATCCTTTAAGAGGGCGGCAGGTAGCCTAGCGGTTAAGAGCGTTGGGCCAGTAACTGAAAGGTTGCTGGTTCAAATCCCAGAGTCGATTAAATGAAAAATCTGCCTATGGTACTTAACCCTAATTGATCCTGTAAGTTGCTAAATGACTAAAATGTAAATGTTTGTTTACATTACTGTTCTTATACTTGGGATATCTCTTTTCAAAAGGAAAGGTTTTTAAAAAATGCTTTAACTGTGTGTAGATGGGAGTATGATGAGAGCTACTGTGATGCAGTGAAGAAGATGCCTCCGTACGACGCCGGTCCCAGACTGCTGGACGTCATAGACACGGCCATCTTTGATTACCTCATCGGCAACGCCGACCGACATCACTACGAGAGTTTCCAAGACGATGGAGGAGCCAGCATGCTCATCCTGCTGGATAACGCCAAGAGGTGAACACAAGCACATCAGCTAAGTGTGTCCTAGGGCAGTGTTTCCCAACCCTGGTCCTCCAGTAGCCCCAGCAGTACACATTTTCATTGTAATCCTGGACAAACACGCCTTATTCAGCTCCTAGAGGGCTTGATGATTAGATGACAAGTTGAATCAGGTGTGCTTGTCCAGGGTTACAATAAAAATGTGTACTGTTGGGGGAACTCGAGGACCAGGGTTGGGAAACACGGTCCTAGAATGTGTGTGTTATGAAAGTGTGTGAGGGTTTAACTTGTCTTCAGATGCATTACTATGGTGTTTTGTTGTTTGCAGTTTTGGGAATGCAGCTCTGGATGAAAGAAGCATTCTGGCCCCTCTATATCAGTGTTGCATGTGAGTAGACACACACACTGAAAATACCAACATTTCCTCATGGGAATCACAACCCATTTCTAGTGTTTATGAACAGTTGTTTTCTCTTTCTCTCCCTCCATTCCTCCCTCCATTCCTCCCTCCCTCTGTCAGGGTGCGTGTGTCTACGTGGAACAGGTTGAACCTGCTGAGGGCAGGGGCTCTGAGTTCAGCCCTGAGACAGGCCCTGACCTTTGACCCCATTAACCCCGTCCTGACCGAGCCCCACCTGGCTGCCCTGGACAGACGGCTGTCTGGTGTCATAGCAACCATCCAGCAGTGTGTGGAGTCGCTGGGCCCCGACAACACACTGATAGAGGACCGCATGATCCTGCCACACACCTAGAGAAGGACAGGAGAGAGGGAGGAGGGAAAGGAGAACCTGTCTCGCCTCGATGGAGAGAGGGTTGAGCCATGGGAGGAGGAGCTGGATGATAAACCCCTCCTCTCACGGCCCCCCAGAAAGGAACAGGAAATGACCCCAGCAGCAGGAAGTGACTTGATAAAGGACTGGGTGTTGAGTCCTCTGTGGTGTCCTCTATAAACTGTTCCCCTCCACACTAGGACCTACTGGATACGTAACTGTTTCCCTGACGTCTCCTCTCCCACACACACACACACACACACCTTGTGCCAAAACCTCTCCGTCCAGTGTAAAGGAGGGAACCAAGGCCAAAGGACTCAACCCAGAGACACTCAGGATAGCAGGGGTCGCTCCCAGGGCCATACCCCCCCCCCCCCCCCCCCCCCCCCCCATCTGGACACAACCCCCCAGTGAAATCTACTGGACAGACAGCGGAGAGAGAGACTGGCTAACTGACCATGGGGGGCAGGAGGATGATTTTGGGATCAGTCTGTGATTGTGACTGACAAACAGATGTCTGTATCCAAAATGCCACCCTATTCCCTATATAGTGCAGAAGTAGGGAAAAAGTAGGGAATTGGCTGCCATTTCAGATTTGCTCGACGTGAGCAGAGTCTGACAAGTGACTATGGATGCATGTCAAATGGTGCTCTATTCCACATATATTGCACTAGTTTCGGCCCCAGTTTCTCAGACCCAATTCCTGTTCCTGGACTAAAAGCACTTTCAACAGAGATTCTTTATACATGCCATAAAGAGATCAATGGAACGCAGACTGTGGGGGATAGAAAAAGGAAGCCGTCATTGGTGCCCATTCAAAAAATCTGATCTAACAAAGTTGATATTCGTCAATTCTCTCATGATGTACACTGAATGTAGAAAACATTAGGAACATCTTCCTAATATTGAGTTGCACCCCTAAGAACAGCCTCAATTCGTCGGGGCATGGACTCTACAAGGTGTCAAGCATTCCACAGGGATTCTGGCCCATGTTAACGCCAATGATTCCTACAGTTGTCAAGTTGGCTGGATATCCTAAGGGTGGTGGACCATTCTTGATACACACGGGAAACTGTTGAGCGTGAAAAACTCAGCAGCGTTGCAGTTTTTGACACACTCAAACTGGTGAGCTTGGCACCTACTACCATACCCCGTTCAAAGGCACTTAAATATTTTGTCTTGCCCATTCACCCTCTGAATGGCACACATACACAATCCATGTCTCAATTGTCTCAAGGCTTCTTTAACCTGTCTCCTCCCCTTCATTTACACTGATTTTAAATTGGATTTAACAAATGACATCAATAAGGGATCATAGCTTTCACCTGTGTTCACCTGGTCAGTCTATCATGGAAAGAGCAGGTGTTTTGTACATAATTTGATTACTAAAATCCGATGTAGATATATTTGGCTGTTTTCACTGCATAACATTCATAATATTCATAATATGCTAACTCCCGTTTGTATAAACTGGTAGCATAGCTAGCATTTAGAAATTGGTGGTGGTAGTTGGAGTCTTTTGAAGTGTAATGCAGTTGATCGGTAATGATGATATGAACATGTATTGGGGTTGACATCCATACTAGCATTATACTCTGATTTTTACCCCAACATAGTTTGAAATACACATATAACCACATACAAAATTTGATGGCCGGCAATGAGGAGATTCTGGATCTATACTCCACGGAGGGACGCGTGTGGCATTACCATTGTTTTGGTCGAGTTCGATTGATGTCTTTACCACATGTATTGAGCATGCTTTTTTTTTGTCTGTGATTAGACTTTATCTGGGTCCCAGAAACTGGCCTTTGGGGCTCTGGTCAGAACTGGTGCACTATTTGGGGAATAGAGGCCATTTGAAATATGACCAGTGTGTACATACTGAACTAACTGTTGAATAGCATAACTGAGAGTATAATTATGAGAATTATAATATTAAAGAAACCTAATTTAGTGTCATGTTTGGATGGTGTGTGCGTGTAAGTTTTTGCGTGTGCGTGTGTCTGTGCATGAGTCCAGTGTTTCCCCTAGATTGTTATTTTTTTGCAGTGGTGGAAAAGGTCACCGGGGGGGGGGGGGGGGGATAGTTGTTTTTATAGAAGGACTGTGAGAATGTATTTTCTTTTTAAAAGACGTTCTACTCTAAAATGAATGAAAATCGAATTATGCCGACACAATCTATCTATGATTCCCCCCCCCCCATTAATGAGCCCAATAACATATTGCAAAAAAAGAATGATTAGGGCTGACTCTTTTACCATAGCTTATACATGGCACCATACCATATTATCAGGCAGATGTGCTATTAGCAATAAGCACTTTTTTTCTGGATTAAAACGGGCTACTTTCCTGCAATCCTATTTGTCAAAATCCATGGAGCTGACAGAAAATGTTGCAATGTGAAAGCTAATTTCCTGCAATTCTACGCATTTTGCCATGGAACTGACCAAGAATTTTGCAGTGTGTATGCTACTGATGTTAAAGAGAGAATTTGGGAAATTGAGGGGGTTGCTGGGAAGTTTGGGGCTGTATGTATGTTTTCAACATTAAAAATGGTCTACTTAAATATGCTGTATTTCAGTGTTTAAAAAAAAAAGAAGAAAAAAGTAATGGCTCCATTTCAAAAGTATAGGGGGTCTAGAGATGCTCAAACTATCAGCTGTTACTGTCTATATACAATAATTTGCATTTTTAGTGTTCCTCCCTTAGAGGGAGCCAGATCACTACAGTATAGAGACATCTAGATACAGACTATCGACTTAGACATCGCATCATTGTATCTGTCTCATTATGGCGTCTGTGGGAGAACCCATTGGATGAGAAAGCCAGAGGTTTGAATTTTGAGAAGGAGAGAGGACGCGAGAAGTATGCAATTAAGATTCTCCCCATGAGAGCATGGGCAGCGCCATTGAGGCCATCTCCTTTTTGAAGTAGTCAATTTTCTACTATTTCTATGAGTTGGCAAACAAACTTGAAAGGTTGCATACTGCCACCTGGAGTGTGTTGTTTGAGCAGGTATAAAGCCAAGGTTGGCAATTTACTGCCACCTGCATACTCATGAGTATAATTCATTGGCTGATCCCTCCTGATGACCTGGATGGAATTATGTGATCTTACCTTAACCCATAGGAAGTCCCACCAAGTCGACTACTTCAACATGGTGAAAGTCCTCACTGGTGCTGCCAATGCTAAAATGGGCTTTTGGGCACTAGAGTGCTTTATCTCTATGATACAGACCCCAGATGAGACAACCGATGCCACCACTTTTCCTCTCCTCCTTCCCTCCCTCTTCTCTTGTCTCTTTTTTTTATCTCGCACAAACGGCCTGTGGTCAGCTGTGGCGTCGACAGATTAAAAGAGAGAAATACGTTTATAATCATAGAGAAGGATGCATAGATAGAGGAGAGAAAACAGAGCGTATGAAAGGCATTGTGTGGGATGAGTGGTGGTGGTAGCCTCACATGACCTCATAGTTTCTAATCAAACTGAACTCTGGAATTTCCACCTGTGACTGGCTGGCCTGAATATTGTGTGTGTGTGCTGAGAGGCGTTGGGTGTTATTAATCCTTTAATGGTGGCATATATACAGTCCATCATAGTTCTGATGATTAATAATGTCACGAAGGGGGTCTGTTAACGGTAAGTCAATCTTTGTTGAGGGGAAGAATTCCCAGAACAGAATAGCTAACTAAAAAGCTAACTTTTTGAGTTCGAGCTGAGATGGAGCTGTCAGATACAGACAGACTTACAGGGGGAGTCCCATGGACAACACCACTGGGGAATGGGCCTTCTCCCCATCTCTGGGGGGGAAGATGGCATACCACTAATAGTATGTGCATAATGTCCATTCAGACTCAGTCAGGTCTGGTCTCCCAGTATCAGGGTGGGAGGAACTGGCACATACAGTCCTAGGGGGTCTCCCAATGTGTGTATGTATGTGGAACAGATCCAGCACTGACCTGCATCCACCCATCATTTCCACTAACCTCAACTCTCAGCTGTCTGCTTAACAAAATAACACGCACACACATTTTTATTTTCCATTGAATCGTGCTTACAGAGATGCTTGGTTTCATGCTCTCTCTATTCCTCTCCTCCCCCCATCTCTCTCTCTTTGATGCACTTTTGCAGGTTCACTATGACTCAGTGACATCAAAAACATGTCACACAAACACACACCTCTCTCAGACATCAGATGGGGGGATGTATGGGGGGCAAGTTAGTGTTTTTTGTCATGAATCTTGTTCTGGAGGCAGCTCTGCAGAATGGTCACTACCCAGCTAACAGTTCTAGGGAGAGAGAGTGTTTTTGTAATGTTCCCCTTATGTTTGAGTGTCCAGTTTTCTGTTAGTTAGGGGAACATTCTATGTTAGCAAAACCCTTCTGAGAACCTTTTTAGCACGTTTTATAATAATAAATAAATGGCGTTAGTTAGCAAAACATTCCCTTAATGTCAAACAGAACATACCCAGAATGTGGTTGCCATGTTCTCAGAATATCCTATATTAATGTTCTAGACACGTTTCATGAGAACGTTGCAAGAACATTCATTTGTCCAGTTTTCTGAGGGTTAGGAGAATATTCCCTTAATGTCAAACCGAACATACCTAGAACGTGGTTGCCATGTTCTCAGGATATAACATATTAATGTTGTAGACACATTTCATGGGAACGTTGCAAGAACATTTCTGTATATCATTTGTCAGGATGTTGCCTGATGGTCCTGAAGAAACGTCCCCCCCAAAAAAAATTTTGGGGTTTCATTACACATCATGCCTTGTTACTGTTGCCAAGCCAATCAAAGCCCTGATTGGTGAACCACTTATCAATTCACAGATCTTTGTCTGTTGCCAAGGTTAGGCATAATCACACACAGTGATTTTAACATTTTCTGTTTTCAACATACATATTCAGTACACTTTGTGCATGTTCACTTATACAGTAATCATTATTCAACATGTCCTCACCTGGGAACCTCTTAGTTCACGGTACTCCGGTCTTCCTGC